GCTGAAAAAGCGATGATTAAAATGGCTTACTTTGCGTTTTTCGAATGAATCGATTGACTAATTTTCCTTGTAATTTGTGGTCGGGAACTGGAAGCTTCATTATAGGATAAATCAATTTTTGATTGCTCCTTTATGTCTGAACCAATCGACCCCATGTTTCCCATTATCTGTATTTCTGATCAACAAATTTTGATTGAAATATAAGTAATTCAATCTGAAATTATCGTTTTTTACGCAGTTAACATTTTAAACGAAAAGATAATTGTTTTTCATATTATTATTTTCATGCAATTATAGGGAATACAAATTGTAACAATAGAGCAATAATACAGTGAATGAATGATTGATAATTTTTTTTTTGATCTAATTCATTTTGTTCAACATTTCAGATTTTCTTTTTAAATTTGAAGGAAAAGTGGATTTAAGAAACGTTTAATATATGAAATTACCAAACTGTATTACTTCACAAATTCCTTCCACGATATTACACTTTTTTACTATACCACTTCGTAAAAGTTATCCTTTTCCTATTTTCTGCTTTTACGATTCAAATCATCCTACCGTATCACTTCTTTTATATTACTTTATAAAGACTGTCTTACACGGTTACTTTATACTGTTTTACTGTCTTACATCACAGAAACTGTCGTACTGAGTACTTTATGAAAAAAATCATGAAAACTATTCTGCTATTACTGATTTATGATTAGCGATGGAATTATCTTCTAATTTACATATAAATATATGGTCGATTATGACCTTTAAACAAATATTCTGTAATAAACTTTTTTTTTGATTTCAATATTTTAAAACAAAACCAGAAAACAGGTTAATAGAAAAAAGAAAAATTTGATAAGATAATCAAGCAAAAGCTTCAGGTGAACAATGACAAGCATATATCTGTGCAAACCGACAGACAAAAACGCATAAATAAACATATACAAACACATACACAAACGTACACGCAAACACGCATAATGCAACTGTTTGCAGTTGTTGCCTGTCAGCACGTTCTTTAATAATCTGAGGTAAAATTCATAGAAAAAGAGAAATGATAAATGGAAAAGATGAAAAAAAAATTGTTTTGAATGGAATTTCAAAAGGAAACCGGTAACACTGAAGGAATAAGCGATAAATATATGAAATTATCCCACCACCCAATTTTAATGCTAAAATTTTTGAGAATTTCAATTTGATTTTATCAAACATCAAAATTATTTGTATTTTATTTTCGTTTTCCTTTGCAATTTCAACTTTTTGTTTTTGAGAGAAGCGATTATTTTTTTCCAATTTTATCATTGACGGATATTTATTCGTCAGTTTTTTTCTCTGTCATTTAAAATTTCGAACTTCAATTTGTTTGCTTTTATAAGTTGAATTGATCATTTTACTAAGAGAATATCATATCACTATTGATATCAATGAAACGATTGATAGGTGCGCTAAATGTGGCTCTATGACAGCTGTCATTTCAAATAGATATTCTGTATTTCCCTTTCGTAAAATTCATAACCAATACTTACGTAAGAAAAAAACGAGAAAATAAATATTTAAAATATTTTAAAATACATGACCTTTTCCCTCTTTAATGCTTTGTTTTACACTCAACAAATTTTTCAACTGAAATAATATAGGCGTTAATGCATCAATTAGTCTGATTTGATTGCTTTTTATTAGAATATCGCTATCAGCGTAGAAATATTCATCATTTTGCAATAATTGATATGAAAGAATAAAAAACGAACTATTTTTAATTTTCTCAATTGCTTTTAATTTAGGTGATTTCAGAATTAGCTAACTTCGTTATTTTTTTCTTTCCAACCAAGCTAAGCTAAGCTAAGTAGGCTAAGCTAGTTGTATGCATCACTGCAATGAATCACTCTGTACTTTGAAATGATATATGTTTCCGCCTCATTGTTTTGTCATAATCGTTTTAACACTCTCCTGGCACTATCAAATATTTGTCAAATGTTATGAATCTAAAAAAAATTTTAAGCGTAATAAAAAAGTTGTTTTCTGTGTACTATTGTGAACATGAATTTCCACAAGCGCTTTCTTGCATTCCGCCTATTTAGTAATTTTGGAATAAATGCAAAAAAAAAAATTCTGTTATGGTATTAAACATCGAGGAGGAAAAAAAGAGGAAAAACGAAAATAAAATTCACATTTTGTCACTTTTTAAATATAAAAGAAATAATTTTAATCAACTATACAGTTATGCTTAATTATAAAAAAAACGAATTGAAATTATATAATTTCAAGGAATTTTGAACTCGCCTAATTCAGAAAATCCAGAATAGTTCGTTCCTCACACATTTATTCTTCCATATCAATTATTGTAAAATGATGAACATTTCTGCGCTGAAAGCGACATTCTAATAAAAAGCAATCAAATCAGACAAATTTATGCATTAACGCCTATATTAATTTCAGGTTAAAAATTTATTGAGTGCAAAACAAAGCATTAAATAGGGAAAAGTCATTTACTTTAAAGATTTTAAATATTTACTTTCTCGTTTTCTTCTTACGTAAGTATTGGTTATGAATTTTATGAAAGGGAAATGCAGAATGTCTGTTTGAGATGACAGCTGTCATAGGGCCACATTTAGTGCACCTATCAATCGTTTCATTGATATCAATGGTGATATGATATCCTTTCAGTAAAATGATCAGTTCAATATATAAAAACATATAAAAACAAACAAGTTGAAGTTCGAAATTTTAAATGACAGAGAAAAAAAACTGGCGAATAAATATCCGTCAATGATAAAATTGGAAAAAAATAATCGCTTCTCTCAAAAACAAAAAGTTGAAATTGCAAAGGAAAACGAAAATAAAATACAAATAATTTTGATGTTTGATAAAATCAAATTGAAATTCTCAAAAATTTTAGCATTAAAATTGGGTGGTGGGATAATTTCATATATTTATCGCTTATTCCTTCTGTGTTACCGGTTTCCTTTTGAAATTTCATTCAAAACAATTTTTTCTCATTTCTTTCGTTTTTTTCACTTCTTGAGCAAAGTTTTTTTAATTCATAAAAAATTTAAAAAAGTCTAATAATTAAAATTAATGCTGAGAGCAAATGGAGTTACATAAAGAATAGTAATTAACTTCAGAATAATAAGGCGGAGAAGAAAAAATTCACAAAATGTTTGATATAATTAATAAAAAATCTGTTTTCCACTACGTTCAAAATTAGTTTTCTTTAAATGATATTAGATTAATTCCAATTGAAATTTTTTTAATTTTTTAATTAACAATTTTTTTTAATTGGTAGTTTCTCAAATTTATTATTAATCATATATTTGTGTTTTTTTAATTTAGTTTTTCTTTTTCTCTAAATTTTAAATCGGGCATATAATTGAGAGCAGAGCGTATATTGTTGTTATTGTATATTTTGTGAAACTAATTTTTTCACAAATTTTTAAGTTTTCATTAGAAAAAGCAATCAAATTATTATCAAATTACAATTCAAATTCTACACAATGGAAAATTTGCTGCCTTTTATCATTTACTAATAAATTAGCATGCGAGATGTCAAATATTGAATTTATAAAATTCAAAGTGCTTTATAACGGATTCTGTTTCTTCCATTTAATTGTACATATGCGTATATTTTCCTTTAAATAAAAAAAATTTGGCCAATTTTTATAAAAGTAACCAAATTTTTTGAAAGAATTAATTGAAATATATTTTATGATTAATTTTTCGAATTAATACCAATACAAAATTTTTGAAATTATTATTTAGAGATTGCAAAAATGTTTAATAATGAACTTTATAGAATGAAAAAAAAGATGTTCTTTGAATAATAATCTTTAAAGAATTATTAGAAAAGACAAATATGACCGGCTCATCCAAGAAAAATTCAATTAAAATATTGAACATTTAATATACTAATAAACTATTGAGAGGTCTAAGGTTAATTACTTTTCACTTCTCCACCCATTTTGTTTTTATTCCTCTTTTATTGCCATCACATAACTTTCACCTCATCAAAGATATTTATTTTTGAAATAGAAAGAAAAAAAGATTTCGGATAAATGAAAAATTTCAGCAAGGTAAATCATAAAAAATTGAATCATCTCTGTTAAAAACTTTTAGTGATAATTTTTCCCATTCAGCGCATATTTTTTAAAAATAATTTATCTCTCTTTTTTTGCCTTTCTCTCTTTTTAAAAAAAATCTGTTAAAATTTGTTAAAATGAATTATTTTTTTTCCAAAGGATCACTATTTTTGATTGATTTTATTCCGTATTTCATTTTCTTTCATTACTTTTTTTTGTTAAAATTTTTTTGATGATAATATTTAATTAGTAATCAAATGAATTTATCGATTAATGAAAGTGAATTTTACCTAAGTATTAGATTTTTCAAGGCCAGCTGATATAATGTACTGAAAAGAATGAATTTGTTTTTTTTTAATAATGTCGCGAAAGTCGCGAAATTTCAAGAATATTATAGCTGGTCAAAGTTTCAAGAATATTATAGCTGTATATATATATATACACATATATTCATAGACGTAATATTACTCTGTCCTAATACATATTCATAGCGTCAATGATAATGTGCCCGTTTAAACCAATAGCACGATTCATCGTGTACTGCACGCCTCCAACTATTGTACTACATGATCTCCCTTGCTCTTATATCCTCCAATA